AAAAAAAAAAAAAAAAAAAAAAAAAAAAAAAAAAAAAAAAAAAAAAAAAAAAAAAAAAAAAAAAAAAAAAAAACCGAGAAACAAAAGAAAAACAAAAAAACAGAGAATTAGTGACCCATAACTGTGCTCAGTATGAAGCACAAACCTGAATTCGAATCCAGAGTATATATTCTCGGTCCACGCAGACAGATTACAAGTCCAATGTCCATCTCTACTCCACAAGGGGTCCTTGCTAATATGTAGGGGCCCTTCGGAAATGAGAATGGACAAACAGATTGGAGCATTTGGTGAAAAAAAAGAAAAAGGACATGCACCCACATACACACACATGTGCTCACACTGTTTGGAAGGGAGAGGCATGTTTGGCCACCCCTCCCTGTTAACAAGGGTCAATTTTTTTTATTTTTTTCTCGGCTTTAGTGTTTGGGCGCGTAGGGCCACGTGTCCGAGGCCCGACGCGCCAATTCCGTTTTTCGGAAAATCAATGGGACACCCACGTTTTTCCGTTAAACAGGGTTCAACGAGGGTCCTCGGACCCGTTAAACAGGTTGAACGGCGTTTAATTCCGCCCGTTCTCCGTTCATCGGACACATAGCTGGTCAGGGCATGGTCAGCCAGGCTGCACGCATAGCAATACGACAATGATGAGGACATGATCAACATCCTAGCCAGTTTGGAAGGGGACGCGCACCGTTGGTTCACTACTTACGTTTGAGTAGATCTTCGAAATTTCGAAAGGGACTTCTTAAACCGATTTGATTACATCCACCCTGAGCAGGATTTCTTCATGATCAAAGACCGAGTCCAGAAGCCCCTCGAATCCGTAGTCGAATACCGCAGCAGGTTCTATAGGTTGTTTGTTAAACCACCGCTCCCCCCCGCAGCCTAAAGTTGGGGGGACCGGTAGGGCGATTTTTGGAATAGCCGGCTGACCTACCGGTAGCAGGGACTGCCACGACCTGTGGAGGGGTCTGAAATGTGCCAGTGTGTACACCGCCCGTAGAAAAAAGGAAGTTTTTTTTTTTTTTTGAGAAGCATTTAAAAATAATAATAATAATAATAATAATAATAAAAAAAAAAAAAAAAAAAATGCTTCTCAAAAAAAGAAGCATTTCGAAGTGGCGGCCCGCTGGTTTTGCTCATATGGAGAGTAGTGGAGCGAGGCCCTTTGCGTTTGCTATTTTGTCTGACATCCCGCCGTGGTCTGTATGACAATCAATTGATTATGGATTTTCATTTCAAATTGTTCTCTAGACTTCTTATCAATATGAGGTGATCGTAACACTGTATATAACGTGCGTGTTTTTGGTAATCTAAGAGCTCGTGTCTTTCTCTGGCTGTTAGTGCCACAACGTTTCGGGCCTCGACATGCACAGTACACAAACCTCATGCCGATGTATCTTTCCAGTACACAAACCTCGTGTCGATGTATCTTTCCATGTTCTAGCGGAAGATTCACTCTCGTTTTGCCCATGCCGAAAGTAGGCCACGGGATGATTCGGGGCATCGCTGCACTACTCTCGAAATGCACAAAACGAGAGTGAATCTTCCGCTAGAATATGGAAAGATACATTGCCATGAGTTTTGTCTGTTGTGCATGTCGAGAGTAGTGCAGCGAGGCCCTCGCTCTTGTTTTGGACAGGAGGGATTTGTGGAGAGAAACGCGCACAACGGTACCCCGAAAGTCCTGCAGTCACCCAGGTAGGCCGAGTTTTTGAATTGAAATCGTGAACTCTTTTTCCTTTTTTTTTTTTTTTTTTCTTTGCCCTGGTGAAATTGGTCGCCGACCGCCCTCCATTTCCGGCCCTAATTCCCCGGGAAGTCGACTTTAGGCAATGAGCGGGAGCGGTGGTTTAAGTCTGAACGGGCGAAAATGTCGGAAGAGATTTGTTTATCGATGGGCTTCGTAGTTGAACGATGAGGGCGAAGCGGCGAAAACAGTTTTCCCCTATCAATCACACCATGCAACAGATCATGGACGCTGCGAAAGAAATGGAGAAGAAGTTTGCCGCTAGCTTCTTAGAAGGGGAAGACCACACCAAGGAAGGGTAGTCGTCGGAATTGGCCAGAGCAAAGGCCGAACTAGCTGCGCTCCAAAACAAAATTGAAAACATGGCCTTCGTCTCCGGCCCCGTTACTTACCTGAGAACGATACCAGACACAACCACGAGACTGCCTGTGATGGTCACACCTACACCTCTACCGCCCGTGCCTCCCTTTGACCCCCCGCGAAACCAAGTGAGTCAAACGCCATATTGGAGCTAACCCGAACACTGGTTAGCCTGATGCAAGAAAGCAAGAAAGAACAACGTGAGCATAATGCCCGAATAGAAGCCATGATGAGATCGATGCGCCCTATCGTCGTCCGAGCGGCGCCCATAATACAAGCGTTGCCAACTGCAACCCCTGCTCAGGCTGTAAGTTGTACGACGGCTAATCTAGGCATCTGTTAAACTTTGTCGATCGGTAGAAGTGATCTGCCGGCCTGCGGATCAAACCCTATGTTCACCCCGCGTCTGTCACCCACGGTAGGGCTAGTTCCGAGCTCCTGTAACCTGCAAAATCCGCCACTGAGTCAGATAAAAAAAAAAACAAGGTGCGAGCCGGGCGACTCACTAAAATGTAGAAAGAAAAGGAAAGTCGTTTTATTTAGTCAATAATGATAGGCGCAGATGCATTACATCCTATCCCAGAGCATCCTCCCTCACGCCAACCTAAGGGTTCGGTTTGTGTTGAGACTGATCGTGTCGGTCTTCTTCGCTGGATCCAGCGACCAATGGGGTGATGTTGGTACCGCCCCCGTCAGTCCCGAGGGATCTTGTTAGAGCCCTCCAAGTCCGAAGTAGCATCGTGGGCCCATTGAGGCCCGATTCTTAATCTGAGTCTGGGCTCTGACTTGAGGCCCATTGAATAGATGATGCCTTAGCTCTCTTGGGTGCACAATCTGGACCTGCCCTTGGCCTTGGTGTTGTCGGATCTGGTCTGTCCTGTTCCAGGCCCCGTCGCAATCTGGACCTGCCCTTGGCCTTGGTGTTGTCGGATCTGGTCTGTTCTGTTCCAGGCCCCATCTGGTCTGATCTGTTCCGGGGCCGTCTGGTCTGAACTGGTCCGGTCTGTTCCGTCCTGGTCTGGTCTGAACTGGTCCGGTCTGTTCCGGGTCTGGTCTGGTCTGGTCTGATCTGTTCTGGTTTGGTTTGGTCTGATCTGGTCGGGTCCTAAGTCTGGTCTGGTATGATCTGATCTGGCCTGGTCCTTGATCTGGTCTGGTCTGATCTGATCCCATCTGCTCCGCTGGATAATCTGATCTGATCCGATTCGATCCGCCCCAATCTGATAGGTTCCGATCCGAACTGATCTGATTTGGTCTGATCTGATCTGCAGATCTGATCCAATTGGTTTGGAACTTTGATTGTTCTGATGTCTCTCAGGTCGGGATCCTCATGCAATGCAGCTTGTATCGTCGATGCCCCCTCTCACAGAGTCGAACTAGAGTCAAGCTTAGCAGGGTCTTCTTTCCCCTCCTATTCTTCCAAGCCCGCTACCCTTGACTGTGGTTTCCCTGGGTGGTAGATAGGGACAATAGGAATCTTGTTAATCCATTCTTGCGCTTCACTGATCAGATGATGTGGCATTAAGTCCCTCCACTCTGACATTGGTCTCTCCACTCTGACATTCGTCTCTCCGCTCTGACATTCGGAGCATTGAGTAGAATTTGTATTGCGTCGATATTCGTTGCGACCATCCCAATGCTCTCAGAGCACTAGGCAGAAATCATATTGCGTCATCATCCGTTGGAGTCATTATCACAAGTCCTGTCACTGTGTCGAGCTAGAGCCAAGCCAAATACAGTCTCCCTTCCTCTCCGATTCCTCCAAGTCCCTTTGGTTGTGATTTTGCGGGATGGTAGATAGGGACAGTAGGAGTCTCGTTAATCCCAACGAGTACATCGCTAATCAGATGAAGAGGCGCCACTCCCAGTGATTCTTCCAAGCACGTTTCCTTATCTGTGATTATGCGGAATGATAGATAGGAACAGCGGAAATGTCGTAGGTTCATTCATGCGCATTACTAATCGGATGTCGGGTCGCTGCTCGCGTCGACCCCCCCCCCAAGCCCGCTCCGCATATCACGTGTCACTAATTAGATAGCGGCATTGCTCCAGCTCTCCCTGCGCTTGATCGAATCTCTTCACTCCTACATTCGGAGCATTGGGCAGGAACCACACTGCGTCAGCATCCGTTGGGACCTTGGCAATGCTTCATCGAACTACCCGTTCTTGTTTCCTTGCCAGCGCCGGGCACGTGCGAGCACCAATCAGATGATGGGGCATTAGGCTCTCGCTCAAGTGGTGCGCGTCATTAATTAGACGATGGGATAAGCGCATCATCTACCAGCACTTGATTGAATCTCTTCACTGTGACATTTAGAGCGCTGGGTAGAAATCACATTGCGCCAACATCCGTTCTCTCTCTCTCTCTCTCTCTCTCTCTCTCTCTCTCTCTCTCTCTCTCTCTCACACACACACACACACACACACACACACACACACACACGTGCGTGCAGCATCACTCTTCGCGCGCGATCGTTCTCCCCCCCCGCGGTAGCTTCTCCCCCGCGGCAACTTTTCCCCGTGCAGCAGCTTTTCCCCACGCAACGGCTTTCCCCGCGCAGCAGCTTTTCCCCGCGCGGCTCCTTCCCCCCGCGCTCTCTCTCCCTCGCAGGTGCTCCTTCCTCGTGCAAGCTCCGCTGCTTCGCGTGGCTTCTTTCCCCATGCAAGCTCTGTTGCCCCGCACAGCCTCATCTCCGGCGAGAAGCTCGTTCTTCCCCACGCGACGGCTCCAGAATAGCTCTTTCCCGCCCAGCAACTCCTTCCTCGCGCGGAAGCTCCCCCGTCTCCCTCTCCGCTCTCCAAAGCGGTTCTGTGATGACCTCCGAAGCCCGACAGAGCCCATTCCCTTGGCCACGGTTTCGCTGAATGGTAGATAGGGACAGTAGGAATCTCGTTTATCCATTCATGCACGTCACTAACGTCCCCCTTGTTGTGATTCCGCAGGGCGGTTGATAGGTGGGAGGTAGGGACAGCGGGAATCTCATGAATCTACTCATGCGCGTCACTAATTAGATGTTGAGGCATTTGGCTACCTCGAAGGAGTCGCAGTTACTCCCGCCGTTTCTTCGCGCTTGGCCGAATCTCTTCACTTTGGCATTCAGAGCACTGGGCAGAACTCCGCTTGCCCGCTCACGAATCGAGCCGTTCGCGGGCTCTTCACGTGCACGTTTCCCGACTTCGCCCACTCGACCACAACTAGCTTAACTCCCGCTGGTTCTCTTTCCGCTCCCCACGGCGGTCCTTCTTGCGAGCGCGCGCGCGCGGTGATCCGCGCAGCGACCCTCTTTTTAATGGAGCGCCGTGATCCGCGCGATATTGCTGCTAATTAGTCCCCCTCCATCGATCTGCACGCGTGCGCCCGTGATCAGCTCATTCATCCTGGCGATCTCCGTCTCTTCGCTGGCGCACTACGCTTCCTACCGGACTGCAGGTAGAACACGGGCAGATACCTGTCACATGCATGAAACCGCAGGTTCCCTCACACGAATCAAACTGTAGGTAGAACATGGCATATCATCTTATCCACACGCAGCGGTTCCGCTACAACTTAACTCATCAGCTTCTAGTGAAGCAACACCTACGACCCACACAGCCATGTTCGCTGTCGATGCAAGCTCGTGCTGCTCTGCTCTCAGTGCGTACGGTACCTTTTGCCATCCGCGCAACCGCTGCTGTTCCTACAAGCTCGCGCAGATAGATGCCTTCCTACAGTTGGCCCTTCCTCCCTACATTTCGATCACCCCCACTTGCACATCCTCTGTTTCACCCGCTAGCTTCCCCTTTACTTTCGCGCATTGATCCATTCTCCGTGCATATGCTCAAACTTGTTTCCAATTGTGCCTGAACGAGCGCTGATCCCAGTGCACTGCTAGCAAAGCCTTGTCTTTGGCCTGTGCGTGATCAGTATCACGGTGCAAGATCAGTCCGCCGTTCGTTCAAAGGGTTTACGCCTTGTTTCTTCCTTCTTGAATGATCCGTTCTGGACCGTTCGTAATTAGGAACGCCGCTGAGACGCTCTCCTCCTGAGAACCCATCCCTGTCCGTATGCTGTTTCGTATGTAGTCAGTGCCCTCATTGGCCGGAAGAAAAAGCCTTGTTGATTGCCTTCTCGTGCATTGATTAGTTCACTGAGTCCTCTCTTCATGCGTGTCTGCCCTGCTGGTAGTCCCGGTTCGTGTGTTGGTTGGATGGGCTCAGGTCCCCCCGTTCCGATGTGGCCCTTCACATCCCGTTCGCATCCACCCTCCCCCAGGAGTCCTCTCGTGCGTCCATGGGCTGGCACACCCCGTGTGCTAGCCAGTGCCTCTCTCGTGCGCATCCCCCCCCAAAAAGCCCCCTGTCTCGAGATTAAACTTTGTCGGCCGCAGTCTCACGTGGGACCTACCCCTTTGGCCTCCCGAAGTGTCGGCCGCTCTCGAGGAAGTTGCAGCGCCCCGGTACCAATCCTGCACCCGAACCTAGGCCCAAGCCCATTTGGGCCCCCAAAAAGTTACTTGCCAAGGAGGCCTTTTTGTCGGGTACTGGCCCTTTTGCAGCGCCTTGGTACCAGGCCTACCCCCGAGCCCATTTCCCAGGCCTGCCTTGGCCATTCATAGTCTAGGGCCCTTGTTCTCAGCCCTTGGCCCAGCGATCTCCCTTTTGAGTTTACTCATAGCCCGACTGTCAAGGCCTCGTAAAGGCTTGCGTAGTAATTTCCTTCGTTCTCGGCCCCGCATAAATTTCCCAAAGTTGTCGCTTGCCTAGTTCACCCGAAGGCTCGCCGCAAGAGTCAGACGTCCTCTTTTGTCACACATGTCGCGAAGCTCGAGTGTGAGTTCGGCCCCCCGGTTTCCTTCATCCGGTCGACGCCCTCGGCATCTCTCCAGGCGTCGCAGCATTCCCATGTCCTTTCAACATTAAATTTCCATAGTATGCACCGAGAAGGCTCTCAAGATTCGCGGGTCGCGTTTTCCCGACGTCTCGGTCCCTACGTCCCTCACGCAGTTTTGACCTCGCAAATTTTTAATGACGGTCGTGGCCAAGTTGGCCATAGCGGTTGAATCTGATTTCCGCCAAGTGCTTCCCTCAAGGAAGTAAAGGGCAGCGTAAGGCTTGAGCCGCCCGACAACGTGTCACCAACCCGACCACCTGGGCCGGGATTGCCCCAACCGCAAGTCCGGGTAGGAGCCCCCCCTGTGGCAGCCACACAGGTAGCCAACAGACCAGGAAGAGTGGGCACGATGATTGAGGAGATAGAAGAGGGGGGGAGTGTGATAGCTACCACCGAGGAAGCTGTATCCCGCTCGATCAGTACATCTCGCTGGGCTACCCAGGGTTGGGAATGATTGGAACCATCCGCCCAGCGAACGAGCAACGGGAAATAGCAGAATGGAGGCCATCCCCCGGAGAAATGGAATCGGGTGGTCCTGCCTTCGTTACGGGAGAAATTGATGTCTTGAATATCGTCCGAGCCCTAGATCATCGAATCTCCTTGCCTATCGGACACCTGCTGTCCATATCGAAACAAGCGAATGAATGAATGTTGCAGCATTGCAAGGCAAACCGAAAATGGTTTGCCTTCGCTAAGCAAGCAGCCATCAAAGGGAAAGCCCCCGCCTGCGAAGACAGAGCAGATGTCCCCAGCACCTCGGACCCGATACGGTTAGGACTCATCCCCTAAGATAAGACTTCGGACCTCCTCATTATTGGGAACGCACAATCGATCGACTACATTAGTCTTCTCAAATAACAACCCATCTGTAGTGTGGTAGTTTAGTTCAGACTCTGGAGACTCTCTAACTCTCTTAAGAAGATCACTATAGATAGGGTCCTGCGCATAAGCTTCCTTGACTTTCTGTTGCAGGTCTCTCCCTATGTCTAAGTACTGAACTATTGCTCCGAAGTAATCAACTCTCCTACTCAGAGCATCCGCAACCACATTGTACTTTCCTTTTATTGGCTTGAGCTCAAAGTCGAACTGGTTTATCGCTGCGGCCCACAACTTAGGTATCATCTTGGCCTGCGACTTTAACCACCTCAGCGTCTCGTGGTATGAATACAATTTGAAGTGCCTCCTAGAACCAGAAGGTTCGATTAACAACTTTTGAAAGTTGAAAAGAAATTGTGAATCAGTCGTTACGTCGCTACCTTCTCTGAAGGCATCCTAGCAGACATGAACTCTACGGGTCTATACCCATTGCCACCATCTTGCTGTAAAACAACACCTATACCATACTGACTTGTGTCAATGGTGACAACAAAAGGCAAGGACGGATCGGCTACCTTGAGGACTGGGTACTCTATCAAGGCCCGCTTTAGCTTCTTCAGGGCCGTGTACAGTCTCTATCCCATTCCCAGATTGCTTTTTTTTTTAGCAACCTGCAAAGGGGTGCAATGATAGTAGAAAAGTTTCTTACGAACTTTCTATAGTAGTTGGCTAGGCCAAGGAACGACCGCAATTTTGTCAAGGTGCGGGGCGTTGGCCAATCTCTAATCGCCGCTATCTTACTGTCCTCAGGTTTTATGCCATCTCCATCTAAGACGTGGCCCAAGTCCAAAACTTGTGTCTTGGCCCACTCGCACTTCTTCGTGTTGATCTTGAGGTTCGCTTCCCTCAACTTCTCTAAGACCTGCCTCAGATGAAGGGTCTTACTAAATACTACAATATCATTTAAGTACACCACTACGAATTTATCTAACCATTGCCTAAACAACTCGCTGGAATGTAGTTGGCACATTGGTTAGTCCAAAGGGCATCACTATGAACTGGTAGTGCCCGTACCTAGTCTTGAATGTCGTCTTGTACTGATCATCAGAATATACCTCTATCTGATGATATCCAGACTTTAAGTCTATCTTAGAGAAATACTTGCAACCCTGCACCCGATCTAACAAATCATCTATACGGGGTAGTGGTTCTGCATTCTTCACTGTGACGGTGTTAAGACCCCTATAGTCTATGCACATTCTAAGCTCTCCCTCCTTCTTGACGACAAAAAGAACAGGTGCTCCAAATGGAGATGAACTGGGCCTAATTTAACCCTTATCTAGGAACTCATCTAACTGCTTGCGTAACTCCTCTAACTCTTTTGGGGACATTCTATACACGGCTCCCTTCGGAGTTCTACTGCGAGACTCTATTTCATTGCTATGCTGGATTGGCCGCGACACTACTCCTGCATGCGGCTTAGCTAAATCTGTATACTCTTCCAGCAACCGTGCAATAACTGGCTCCATGGGTTTCTCTTCCTTAGGCTCAGTGACAGGCCTAACACAGGCTACAAAAACCTGCTCTTCTAATTGCTCCTTCTGTACTAATCGCACGAATGCGGGAGCACTGAGATAACAATGTGCCAGGGGGTTGTCCACTCCTGACACATAGAACCGGTGAGCAGTCTAAACTTCGCCTGATGGACTAGGGAGCCTACACTCATGCTCTCTCAAGTGGAGTGTGGCCCCTGCTACCTCTCCCTAGTCCATTCCTAGGACCATGTCAAACGAAAGGTTGTCCTCTACGAGGAGAGTCAGGGAATGAATAACTCTTTCTACCTTCCTATCTTTCTCTAGGCGAAAGTACGCTTGGACTCCCTCTACGTAATCCTTGATTCGCATAGTGCGATTGTCTGCGAGGATGCTGACTATAGGGTCTTCCAACTTTTGGACCTTCAGGTTCAACTTCAACTTCTGCAACGCTTTTCTACTGATATAGTTGCGGGTGGCCCCACTATCTATTAGGGCCCCTACTCTGCGTCTAAAGACTTCTACATCCACTAAAACTAGTTGTCCTTTACCATCTTTCTCCTTTACCATCTTTCTTCATCTTGGCCCAGACCGACATTCTTTCTTTCAACTCCTCTGCCAGACCTGTGAGGGAAGTGCCTAGAGAGACTCTAACACAAACAGTCTCTGGACAGCTATCTAGGCACTGGCCAGCAACCTCTGCTATAGACACATGTGGGTTGGGAGTTTCTATGTGGTGCGCGCACTCTTCTCCACATGGTCTAGAGGTAAGGGCAGTTGCAACCCCTACCGGCGGTTGCCTTTTGCTGCATGTGCAGCAAACCGGGCTTCTCTATATTTGGGGCAGTATTTTATGATATGCCCCGGATCACCGCAATAGACGCAGTGATCCTGTTCTACTCGTCTCTGCCACACTATCTGTTCCAAGCCCAGATCTTCCCAGGGTCTGCCCTGTGGCAGAGCAGGGTGCCATTCACCCCTCCTAGGAGGTGATCGATTGGGACGAGGACGATTTTGCGGGGGGCCTTGACCCCTACCTACCTCTTGGTGGTGTCCTCTGCCGCCAACCCCCTGAGTGCCCTGTCCTCGACCACCAGAGGCCCGGCCTCCTTGGCCCCGGCCTCATCGTCTTCCTTGCGGCCTCCCTCCAGCCGCGACAGCAGCATAAGTCCTCCCCTGACTCACACTACTGTCCTCCTCCTCGAGGCCCCACTCAATTTGATTGTCGGGGACCTCTTCCATACCACCTTCATCTAAAGTAAGGATCAAATGATCCTTTGCCCTGACTTGGCCAGAGATGGTACGACCCTTCCACTTTTTGCCCTTGTCAAGGTCTTTATGCCAGAAAGTGGAAACTGGCATGGACTGCGCCTTGAAAGCTACCACTTCCCTACTCAAGATATCGTAGGTCATGGTGGGCAGTTTGCTCTTTTTGAAAAAGTGCCCCCGCAGAGGTTGGGGCATGGCACGATAAAACAAGTTGACCAGTTGGGTCTCAGTGACCACATGGTCAGGGACGGCGACCAACTCGTCCATAAGGACCATAACGCCTTTGAGTGCCCTGGCACTCTTCCACTGGTGAGAGTGGATAGTTTGCAGTTTGTCAGAGGCCCTAACACTGCGTGAGACATCTGCAAACCTTTCGCGAAGCAGCCTGAAAAATTGAGGAAGGGGGGTGACTTTGGAGTAAGCTACCATATTATTCTCACATTGCGAGGCACAAGTTGGCGATCTGGCGAAACTAGCCGCTTCGTCCCGAAGGGCATGGAAGTCTATGAGGACTTGCTCCTCACGTAAAATCTTATGCAGGTGAACGTATGAATTAACGTTCGCGTCCCAGTTATCGAAATTCTCTTCCTTCTTCCCACTGTAGGAATCCAGAAATTTTACTTTAACTGACTTTCTACGGGGGCGAGCTTCCTCCTCTTTTGGAGCAGCAAGCTTGGCGCCTTCTATGGTGCCTGTGCAGAATCGTTCCGTGCTTTCTATTTTGGCCTTCATTTCCATGCCCGCGTGCATCATCATCTCTCGCGGAAATTCTCTAAAACCGAGGAGTATGTGGACTGTAAAGCGATGTCCTGGCCCCTAACCAACTGATATTGCTCATGTTGGGCCTTCGCCAAAAGTTCTACATTCCTGGCCATGATCTTCATTTTCCCCAACACATCGGCCTGGTTTTCCATCTGCTGTCTTTGTTCCTCCACCACCCCCAATTCCTTCGCCACCTTATCTGATTGTGTCCAACCGTTGTCTATTCTCTCTGGCAAGGCGCAGTTTCCACTCCAACTTCTTCTCCTCTTCTAGGGTTTGGCGACGTAGGGGGTCTTCCTCTCCCTCTAACACTTTCACCACCGCCTCTTGCTCTGCCCTGGGAACATACAACATCACTTCCTCTTCTTCTCCTAGTGACAGATTTGCAACCCACTCTGATATATTTTTCTCCATCCACTGGTCCCCGTGATTCGTGCCACTCGATTCTCCCCTTTCCGTTCTGGTCCTTCTTTCTAAGGGGACTTCCTCCTCCACTCCCAGTTCCTCTTCTTCTACTGCATTCAACTTCTCCTCCTCTTCTTTTTTCAACTTCTCCATCTCCTCCTCCAGTTCCTTCTTCGCCGCCAGCTCCTCTAGCAAGGCTAACTTCTTGGCCTGCTTAATCAACTCCTTCTTAGCCTCTTTCTCTTTTCTCTCTTTTAGGACGGCGACGGCTTGCTCTTCCCGAGCCTTAGTGTACAGGGTGGTGCTCTTACCGCTACGTGTGTCCACCATGGTGAAAGATGCACAACTGAGTGACGGTTCCACTCCTCACCACTTAGACTTCTACCCCCTTACTAACTTAACTTACTTACTGACTCGCTATGGAACACAAAATCCTTTTGGGACCCCTAGCAACTATGGTCTCTAACCTGAATCTACTACTAGGCTGTCACTACAGGACTTCAGTGCTGATCAGGAGGCATTTAAGGAGATCCCCCGTAACTCCTCAGGAATTATTTAACGTCGCAAACAGGACGACGCGATCAGCAAGTCCTCTCAAGACTTAGATAGCTGGTTGTGCAACCCACAACTCGGATTTTGGGCCTACCATGCAACACTAAGCAGCCCGCCGGTCTGTACCGTTCCTTGGGAAGGTTTGTCCTTCGGGTCAGTCAGTCGTCAGACATGGACTTAAGCCCTACTCATCCCGTGTGGGTTTGGTCAACGCAGCTCTATGACCTTATACACAGAGTTCCTATCACCTGGACAAAAGAGACTCAATGCAAAAAGCAGAGACAGACAGACTCAACAAGTACCATGGGTTGAGTGCACATCCATAGGACGAGGGGATAGGTTGAAGGCTTAGCGAGAATATACCAACTCCAGCTTGGTCAAATTCGTGGTCAACAGCTCCAGTCAACGCTGGTCAATGCTGGTCAACGCTGGTCAACGCTGGTCAACGCTGGTCAACGCCGGTCAACGCTGGTCAATGCTGGTCAACGCTGGTCAACTTCTCGGTCAACACCTTGGTCAACGCCGGTCAACCCCTTAGTCAACACCTCGGTCAACCCCAGTCAACTTCCCGATCAACGCCTCAATCAACTGTGGTCAACTCCTTGGTCGACGCTCAACCCGGCTATGGCTACCGAACCCTTTCTCTCTCACCAACCTCGATTTTCTCCCTCTACCTTCTTTCTTTCTCACTTCCTTCCTCCTTCACCCCGGCTATGTCTTTCTCCCTCCTTTTCGTCTCTCCTTTCTCTTTACTTGATCTTCTTTCTTCTTCGTTGGCTCCGTGTCCGAGCTCAGCGGCTATGCCCGCCACCTCCTTTCTTGGACCGCACAACCGATCTTGTATTGCTCCTCTCTCTCTCTCTCTCTCTCTCTCTCTCTCTCTCTCTCTCTCTCTCTCTCTCTCTCTCTCTCTCTCTCTTCGCCGTTGTCTTCTTTGCAGGTGCGCGATGACTTCTTCCGTGGTGCAGCTATGGCAGATACTTCTTCTTCAGCGGCGCGACTTCTGCTATGGCGCCAGGCTATGGCGCACTGCTGACGACGATGGCGCGTGGAATAGCGGGAACCAGCTCCGATACCATTGAAATCAGACTCGTCTTCTTCTCAATCCGCACACATGCAAACAGATAGCAAATGAATCTGGAGCTGGGCGGCCACACGATTCAGATACAAACTCGCTTCAGAATGGCTATGGCAATTGAAAGCCTTTACTTCACACACCAACTCAATGTTTACATCAACTGTTCACACACACTTGACTCGGGATCTCCCTGGATATTCCACACGCACTCACTCTGTACTACACACACACTCCCTCACACACTGAAACACTAACCCTATCTTCTTCCTCAGCCAACTTCGACTTCGGCCATCTGCAGACCACCTCGCACAAGACGCCTAGGCAGCACTTCCGCATGGCTCACGCAGAAAATGAATGAATGGCTGAACACTGCCTCTTGATTTATACTTCTGTTGGTTGCTGGTCTGCTCCTTTCCACCGGGCCCATGGTACACACAGTCCCACATGGTAGTTGCTGACTGGACAGGGTGCGACTGGGACTGGTACCGCTGACTAGACTTGGTAAGTCTACCCACTTGCCCACTTGCCTACGGACTGCTTCTAAGACTCTCGAAGGGCCAGTCCTGGAAAGCTCTAGACCTTCTACTTACCTTTTCGGTACTGTAGCAGCTACGACTGAGGTTGACCCTTCGGACCTACAGCAGCTACTACCAACTCAGACGTTGACTCCTACTCTACAGGTAAGCAGTTCAAATCCTGCTCAGTCCTCAAATCTACGACAGCCATTTACAGACAACTCTAGGGGCTGGTCACGGGTTCAAACACTGGTGGGGCAAAGTGTACTGTACACGGGTTCAGGGTGGTCTTGGGATCGAGCCCTGGGATCTGCATCTGTCACTGCAAAGGTGAAAACCGTTTCACAGCGGCTCACCAGTTGTTCATTCGTGAAGTTGCGGAAGCGCTGCTGCTGCTTGTGTGACCAAGGGACTTGGGCAAGACAACACTCGAAGGAGAAGGGAGTGTCAACGACAGCCATAGCTAGGGTAGTGATAGGGAGCAGGGCGGCCTTAGCTGCCAAGGTCTGAGTCTGAACTGAGCGGGTGTATCCAGGGCATGGTCCAAGGCAGGAGAGAGAAGGAGAGAGAGGGACTGTGAGGTCAAAGCGATACAAAAGCATATATATAGAGAGAGAGAGGGAGAGAGAGAAAGAAGAGAGAGGAAGCGGTAGTCGGTTACATACCTGGTTCGAGTATGAGACTGTGTGAGCGGCAGAGACTGCAGTAGACATGAACCCTTTCTTTGTATAATAAATATATTTGCGTATCAATCTCTCGTGTGATTCTTGTGCCTCGGCTATCAGTTCCAACTTCCAAGTGTGAACACTCATCTGAGTGCTCGTTGCATGTGTGTGCAAGGTTGAGGGTGATTGACTTGCGAATCATTGCACATAGAAGGGTTGAGGACAAAAGGCAACATTCCTAACACAGAAGGCTCCACCAGCAAGAAAGCACCGACCACAGCCTCCATGGGTCTGAAAAACTTGGAGAGTCCTCTGAGTCAGTCCAGAAAGCCACAAAACTAACTGGACACATACAACAACACTGACACTGCTATTAATCCCAAACAACACACTCACGTCATCACCATCCCTCTCACTCCATGGCTAGGCATCCACCCTTCCACTTTGTCGTCTAGCCCGTGGCGTGTATAGAGTGCCATAATCCCAAACTCCACAAGATCTTCAGGCAACACCTGGAGCGCGACTGCTTAAAACACTCTAGAAGCTACCCCATTTCTTCCATGTGCTCGAAAAGAGCAGCCCGTGGGAATGACACCAACAGTAACTCTATGAGCCTCCCTGTGATGATACTGTGGCCAAAACTCCAAACATACATTCCCACCCGGAAAAAAACTTGTGGCCCACGGACATTCCTTCATCGAAAAGGCAGCGCATGCTCTAAGCCAGGGCAAAGAATTAAGCCATGTGTAATAAACAAAACAACAAAACATTTTTTTTTAAATTTTTTTCTTATAAGGGCCCAATGCCCAAGGCTGATATTACCAATAAGAAAATTGAGGCCGGGGTCCTCACAGTCTACCCGGAGTGACCGAACCGAAATTGCTGAGAACTGGGCTCAGCGTCCCTCATATGATGATGATAATGTTAATGATGATGATGATGATGATTATGATGAACTCCTACTGATTCTATGTGCAATGTAAGATAATCATACTAATGACGATGATGCTAATGATGATGATGATTAGTGTATATAAAAAATATAGAAGACTATGCTATATCAGCAATTCTGGCCTCCTAATTCTAGAACAACTCCTAGCCCTCCCTGTACCAGGACATTGCAACTCAGAGACAATACCAACCTAACCAACGTCAACCATAGCCGACCTCTTCTCGCCACCTAGACTATCCCCGGCCCCAAAGGTTGTCAAGGCAGC